AACAGTCCTAAGTGGAATGACAAAGCCAAAGGAACTGCTCTTACTCTTCACGTAAACCACAATGATGAACAAGGCTGGAATAACCAAACACCCCAAAATCATGTTACATATCAAAAGGGTACAACTGTTCATTGTCATCTTATTGCTAAGGCATGCGTTTTAGAAAGTTGGCAGAGTAAAGCTAAGTTTTAAGAAATCTATAGTTAAACCATGAATATTGCTGTCACAACATTATTCTGGTTTTTTAACATCTTTCAAAGAGTTGTAGTTCTACTTTGGATGAGTCCTTCTTTATCACTGTGTGCTGATACAGGGACGCACCGTACTATAGTTGATGCATTTGTCTAATCTTATTTATATGAAAAATATTACTAAGCAGCTACTGTAAAGAAAGATTGGAGGATAATGATCCCATAATTCAACAGCAATTTTAAATGAAAAAAAAAAATCTTGTTACTGGTTTATCAGGGAAAGCGTTTATTCACTTCAACTTTCACTGTCTTCTTATCCATGGCTACCTTACTACTGAACAAGAAGCGTTTCCCTTCCCTCCCTCCATTATAATGTTTGTTTATATACTGTTGAACAGTGGCATTCCTAAAACTGAGGTGAGAGAACTCTTTGAGCGTAATAAAGTGAAAATAGTATAAAAATATTAAGGTGTTTCAAGCACGCATTAACTGGATAACAGTTCTGTGCCAAAATAGAAAATGTTGTTTGGAAGAGATCTATTAACTACTACTTCCTTTAAAATGGGACGTCTTAAGGATATTGAGGGCCATTAAGTCCCTGAACAGTTATATAATGTTCTTAATATTTCTAAATTTGTAGTGATTACCAAGAAAGACATGACTGACACGTGTAAATTGGATTTGAATCACCACTGCTATATTAGCATCAAAATTATAACATAAATTGGTTTTTAGGAAATACTTCTGAACGACAAGTCTGAATATTTGAGTAGAATTTTACACTTCACGTAAAAAAGGTGACCTTTATTCTATTGCAAAATTTACTCTATTTTAATGAGTAATTATTAAATGAGACAATACTTAGTTTTTCATAGGCATGGGCACCTTAGAGATTTCAGTTAGAATGATTTTGTGGATATCCAGCACTTTGAGTAAGAAAATAGAAATTTGGATATTGTATTCTTTGAGATGTGTCTGGAGAGTGTGTTACAAAAGACTTTCATGGATGACTTTTCAGTAATGTCAGTTTCCAGTTATAATCTGTCAAAAATACTTTGTCCCTCCATCATCATGTTAACTGATATTAAGTATGAGACCACTTAATATACAAATATATGTGTAAATATTTAACTGAAAAGGTTTCCATAACTTCATTTTAAATGATGAAGGATGTAGGATTTTGTAGTAGGAAAGGTAAAGTCTGCCAGCAATTTTCTTTTGAAATATTTATTGTACATATTTTAAAGCAGATAACATTTATTCATTAGCGTTTAAACACAAAACATTTTGCTCTCCCTTTCTTTGCTGGATCCAGTTTGCAGGGGATCTTCAGTCTCTGAATGGCAGAAAGTGTTAGATACAGAATTAGTTTAGGGAACGTGAAATAATTAAGTGGTTTTCTTATATGTGATAATGTTTCTTGTAGTGGTTACCTGAATGAGTCAGATACTAATTCTCAAAACAAAAATACCTTTTTTCTTTATTTCTTTCTTTTTGTTATTCACACAACATTTCCAAACCCTAGAGATAACATTATTTATTGGATCGATTCACTGAACTTCTAATACAGGTTTGGAAAGTCAAAACAGCTTGAATTTTGTGAATATAATCTATATGTTTTGATCATCACTCTCCTGTCACAGAACTAACAAACATGGAAAATAACAACCACCAAAAAGATACCAAACTAAGAAGAGATGGAACACAGGATGCTGGAATTCTTAAAATAATGGAAGAGCAAACCACAGAATATTTACGCAAAAAACAAAGGTTAGTAAATAATGACTCTGCTGAAGTAATGGATAGTATTAATTCATAGCTAGAAACTTATTTCATAGACTTCAAGTAAATGAAAGAAAATGGGGGAAAAAACCATTTCATTACATGAATTTTCACTTGCTTCTTTGATTTTATATTTAGCTTGCAGCAATACAGAACTAGCAAGTCTATAGCTGATCCTGGTGAAAAACTGGATAATCAGGTGTGTTTTTCAAGGTACCATATTCTTAGTAACCTTGAGCAATGAATGTAGTCCTCCACCTAGAAACAGTCTAATTTTATAAGACAGGTAACTCACTAGAAATCTGAAATACTCAAATGTAGATTTGAAAGTAATTGAGAAAATTTAATTCATGCACTGCTACTTAGCAGATTTGCTAATGAAAAATCAACCATATTTCTAAACAATGACATCATCAGAATGTTATACCTCTAGTTATAATTTAGCAGCAACTACATATACAATAACTATCTTGGTCTTATTAATGTTAGCTGAGTATTATTTTTTTTTTAGTTTCTTGACTGTAAAGTTTTATTGTTTTTATCGGTGACATTTTTATAGTATCATGTTTCCTATGGGATAAATTTGTCTTCTCTCAAGCCAAGCAAAACTTCTGATAAAAACTATAAAATCCTTTAAAACACAGATATGATATAGTATCAGAATAAGAACCTATTTAGGGAAACTCAGCAGTCACATGCAATCATACGGCATGATAACCATCACTATCAGCTGTTGCCTGTGAGCTCTTGTGCAGAAGTTATTGTAGTGGAGTCTTATGAAAATAATAATGAAATTGAAAATCTGCTGTTATAAATTTTAGTTTAGAAATTGGCAGTCCACACTTCATAAGCAATGAGCCAGATGGCAGTTTTAAGGTCCGTTATTCCTGGTCTTGCATGGGAGTATCAGTAACTTGTGGGGTTAAGAACAATTAGCAGTAGTCTACATTTTTGTCTATATGTTCTCTGCAATGTAAGTGTTTACTGTTCTGATTTTATTTGCAGAGGTCCAGCTGTTTGCAGTTTAGTAATCATTCGTACAGGTATCAGAATAAAAAAACTTCTATGCAGAATTCAAATTCAGCCCTCCCATTCACTCAGGCCACTTTCAGGGCATATGTCTGATGTAACTATTCACGATTATGAGTACGTACTTATAGTTGTGCTTTTTGACTCCATAGGCAGATGAAAACAAGCAAAATCATCTTACTTGTCAAAAAAAAAAGATTTTGCCTCCTAGTCCACCTTTTCTGGCATTTTCTGTAAATCCAGCTCAAGTTCCTGCAGTTCAAGCAGCAAGTGAGTACATGATTCCAAGAAATTGCAGGGAAGTGAACATTTAATCAAGACTGAATAGTTAATGAAGACAGAAATACCTAGTTTATGAAAGAATTTGTACATACATTCATTCACAGTATTGTTATAAAGTGTTAATTTGTGGTTGGAAAATTCCAGGCATTTATAATTCCATGTGGCAAGAGTTTTCAATGTATGCAGTGTATATATATTTTGAATATATAGTTTTAGTGATACATTGTCTGGGTATATAAAAGGGTGTTTACTTGTTTATGCGTGTGCGTGAATGCCTGGATGCATGATGGATTTATTACTTTTTTCTAATGCACCAGCCATTTCAAAAAGTTAGAGATAGTTTATTAAAATAAAAGAATTTCTACTGTCTGTTCTGACAGAGCTTTAGGCATGACTTATGATGGGTGCATTACAAAAATCTTGATTGATTCTTCCTACTTACAGTAACCAGATGCTAAATATAATTACAATATCTTTAGAAAACAAGGTGGTAGAACAATTGCAACAAACGAAGAAAGACAGAAGGCACATGGAAAAAACTAGAGAAGAACTGATCAAAAAAGCTGAAGAGCTACTGGAAAAAAATAAGCTGAGGAGATACCACGGTACACTTTTAATTTATTTTGGAATTTGGAATGATTGAGCAATGACACTGAAAACCAATATGAAAATGTTTATCTCCTTGTCAGTGAGCTTAATTACAGAGAGAGCAGTTTGCTAACCAATAGCTCCGAGAAGGGTCGTTTGTATGATAGCATGCTGGAAAGATTCATGGTTGCAATGTTTCCTTCCACTTTTTTGTGGCAGTCTTATAAATGTAAAAATAACCTGGCTTTTATAAACCATTCAAGTTGTGTCCCTTGTACGTATAGTGCCCAGAGAGCTACTGCTTCGCTGTTTGAGACCCAGGACAGCTGACATATTCTAAACCTGCGTTTAGCTGGTGATTACAGGAATTTTTCCTGTGTTGATAGGGCTTCTAGTTAAATTGGCAGCATAATGCTTTTTGTTACTCCTATCTAATGGTTTTTAGCTTATGGCATGGAAGTTACAAGCCTGTCATGACAAGCTTGACAAACCTTGTTTTTTAACAAGGTAAAATCTTATTGAAATCCCAACCAAATTTTCTTTGTAAAATTATTTTCAAGTTTAAACTATCCTCCCTAAGTCACATTCCAGTTAAACATAGATGAGGTTTAGTCACTTTGATGTTTTGAGAGCATTATCTTTGTACTTAAATACAGCTAAATCACTAGGAGTCTCACCTATTATTTGTAGCTTCGTTGAAAGGAGAAGACAAGCCAATTCTTCCAGTTATTCTCTAAGGGCATGGCAACACTGCACTCTGCAGCATGAGTTGTATTTAAAAAAAAACAAACTTGGGTACTTGAAGCAGTGAATCTGTAGAAACATGGAGCTGCAAGGCAAGCTAATTTACCCTGCTGAGATGTCGTGGTTTAAACTGGTCGGTAACTAAATGCCATGCAGCCGCTTACTCACCTTCCCCCTACCCTGGGGGAATGGGGAAGAGAATTAAAGGGGGAAAGGGAAGGAAGCTCATGGGTTGAGATAAGAACAATCTGATAATAATAATATAGAATTAAAAGTAATAATGATAAAATAATAATAATATATGTACGAGTATATATTAAAAATTAAATTATATATTAATGATAATAATATATACAAACAAGTGATGCACAGTGTAACTGCTCACCGCCCGGTGACAAACGCCCATCCCGTCCCGGCATGCGATCCGGAAACAGATAAGACACCGCAGTCCTGGACTAGTGAGAGGCCTGAAAAGAGAGCCAGAGAGAGAACTCTGAGAGTCTGAGAGAGTACCCCCAGAAGACAGAGAGCTTCTGACTTCCCATATATGCTGGGCATGATGCTGCATGATATGGAATGCTCCATTGGCCAATTTGGCCCTCAATCCTAAATCTAAATTAAAATCATAAGAGGAGTTGTGGGCCCTTTGTCCCGACCTTGCTCCGCCCCAGCCTGTTGTGCTCCTGCACACTGGGAAAACATGAGAAGCTGAGAAGTCTTTGTTGTTTCAGTACCGACTATGAACATCAGTGCGCTATCAACATTTTTCGTATAACAAATCCCATACTATATCCAAACACTGAGCTCTTCCAGCTGCTAAAAAGAAAAACTAACTCTGTCCCAACTGAAACCCAGACATAAGTCGTAAAAGCCTTCTGCATTGTCTTAAAGTATGTTATCCAGTTAGGTAAAATAAAGGTTATTTCACAAAGATTCAAACAGCTCCTGCAGGTTCTTAAGAAGTGTCTTTACCTCTGAATTATTTTTATCAGACCTGTAGAGTTTCATAAGTAAGTGCTCATTTGCAAAAGTGTTCCTTCACAAGGTATGAAGGGAAGAGCATATTCTGTAGGAACAGCGATCTAGTCATTATTTAAAATCCTCCTAAGATTGCCACGCTGACAGTCACTCTCATTTACATATTGTATAGTCATCCAACAGCTGAGTTCTTTTTGGTAAGTTTCTGAGAAGCAGTTGTCCTGATTTCCTAAAATAAGCCTTGAAAGAAGGAATCATTTAAGACACTTTGCGGGCTAGTGGACGTACATGGCCATAGAACTGCCGCACTAGGTACAGGGGGATTTATGGGCCAGATGTTGATAGCACATTAACAACATAGGAGGAGTCATAGTTAAGTGTAAAGGTAAGTAAATGTTTCCCATAATCTTGAGACTTCATATAAAACTAAGCTCTTCAAAATCTCTGGCCCTGCAGAACTTAAATTTTGCATACATCTACAGTGCAGATATTCTGCTACAGTAGAGCTGCGGCCTTCAGACTGTGGTGGGCATACCAGTCTTAACAGGTCTGCAGCACTTACTGTGCAGTTGAAACCAGCAGAACAGCCAGGCTGAATGAAATGTTGGTTTTGGACCTTCTGTTATATCTTGGTGGACAGATACAGCCTTGCGTTGCACGTGATTGTGTGAAAACTCAGTTGCGTTTATAGTGAATGTGATATTAATTTTTTCACTAATTGCTTTTGTTAAAGAACTGTACTGCCATGTTTTAATGCATGAATTGGCCAACTCTCAATCTTGGGAGATTAGTTGGTCAGTACTGTCTTCGATAGACCTTACGATAAGGTGAACAAGACCAAACACTGTTACTCTTCTCCTATGTAGCTCGTGAGGAATGGAAAAAGAAGTACTTTGAAACTAAGAAAGCTACGATTTCACTGGAGGATGCTTTAAACAAACTGCTACAAGATTCAGAACTTTACCACCAGAAATTACTCTTGCAATTGGAAGCCAGAGATAGCCGAAAACGACCAAACAATAGGATAAACTCCAAGGTATTTCCTTGTATTATTTAATCTCTCTTTTTACACAGCCTGTTTTTCTGTATAAAATACAAATTAAAGTAACAAATTCATCACCAACCAATGACTTGTAAACTAGCTTTAACAGCCAAATATTCCTCAATGATCTGAGGTATGGAATTACTTCAACCTATTCTTCTCAAAAAGACTGAAGAAGTACTTGAATCTGAGCATTTGATTGTTTCTGCTTTGTGTTTGTGCAATACCTGCTCATAACAAATTCCCCTTTAGTTCAGTATGATTAATGACTTGTTCAGTTATATATTGTTGTCATCATCCCAAATTTCACGTACAGAGGTAATGAATTCTGGTTGTGATGGCGGATAAGAAACATCTCTGAGGCTTTTGGAGTGGTTGCACCTGAACTATTGTGCAACTGTGATCCTTGTGTTATGTTGTTGGTGTCAAATCGTGGGAAGTTCAGAGAGGAGTTAAAAAAAGAAAAGATAAAAGAAGAGGGGGAAACACCCTTCCCAAGTGTTGTATCTGCAAATTTTCTAAATGTGTTAATGGAAGCAAGTCTGTTGGCAAATCTGAAGCTAGACTAGGAAAAATGAATGTCCCTTTCTTATATCTGAAAGGTGGGAGAGTGTATATACAGTATAATCTAAAAGTGCATATTATATGCAAATATGTATTCTTGGAGCTGTCTTAATATAAATATGATAAAATATTAATAGAGTTGATATTACATTGTATTATTAGCTATGTTCAGATATGTAATCGCTTCTTTTGGGGAGGGATAACAGGCTTTTTTAGGTCTCCCTGACTAGGCACAAAAAGGCCTTATGTGAAGGATATGCACACTTTAAAAGCACACAGCGATTATTGACGGGGCAGCACACACAGAAGATAGATGGCCAGGATTTAAGGAGTGATTAGGATAAGCAGAAGTATGCTCTCCACCCCTCATAAGCTGTGTGCCATGTGAAGCACCTCAGCTCGCCAGGCAGGCATCAGTCAGGGAGGAAGAGTTGGGCTCCGGGAAACAGATCCTACTGTCGCTGGTTTCTCCTCTTCCACATGCTTTGTCTACACTGGTAACTCAATCCAACAACACGGTGATTCCTCAGTAGCCCCCAACTAGTCTGATGGCCCTGCCCAGTTTTTTCCTGAATAACTTTGTACCTTGCATGCTCTCAGTGTTCTGAGCCAGAGTTACGCAGCTGCGCAGTGTCAGAGCTGGGACTTGGACCCTTTATGCAGGCAGCTGCACCCCTGGGTGGGGAGAAGCTTATGGCAGGAGCTTAGAGATGACAAGCTACAGATACCTCAACAATTCCTTGTATGGGCAATTTTATCACATCATTTGCTTCAGCTGTCACTTTAATAGCATTTTTAAAGGCTTGGAACATCAAGAGATTACCACATAGAGACACACACATGCTCCTCAGTATTACTGACTTCAAGGGACCACAGCTGACTTAGATGAGCTGAATATCAGAACCTACACTTTGAAAACATGAATTTTAGTTTTACAGGTTAATTCAAAGATATGCCCATCCACAGCTACTGCTGAAATGGTGTGCTCTACAACCAGGAGTTTGTCTGCACTAAACATGACATGAGTGTAGCAATCTCATCAATCAATGTACTGTGACAGTAATGCTAAACCTGTGAGAGAAAAAAAAAATGATTTGAAGTATATCTTTCTTTTTATTATAAATGAGGAGTAGCCGTAAAAGATAATTGCAAAACAATGTGTTGTCACTTACAAGATCTGAGCTGGCTGTTAACTTCTCAAAGCAATAGGGAGTGGAAGAACCTCTGTGCCCAGCTGAAGGGCTGGCAGCTGAAGGGAGCTGTGAGCAGACTGCTCACAGGCTGGAGACAGCCCAGCACACATTAAGGACTGAAAGGAAACAGGGGAGTTAGAAAGAGTTTAGAGGATTGTTTCTGAGTGATGTAGTGACACCCAATGAATGAGCAATGCATTAATGCTGCACTTAAAGTGTTGTTGATGGTGTTGTTTCATACAGAATTACACAATCATTCGGATTACTACAGTGCAGCATGAAATCGATCAACTGAGGAGGAAGCTAGATGATACAAAAATGAAACTCGTAATAGAAATTAAGGTACTCTGCCTTTTAATTAGAACAGTCAAAATGTTAAAAACCTTAGATCTTCCAAAACATTAGATGATGTAAATAGTTGCTAAACAGTTCTTGTTTTATGCTGTTAGTTTTATGGTGTTATTTGTCATCATAACTTTATCGCTTGAGCCAAATAACTCCAGAACACCAGGTTATTAGAGGATTTTGAATGTATGGCATTCAAGCACGCACTTAGATTTTAAGCTTGCATTTACTTGGTAAATTAAGCTCCAAAATTGCTTTCATAAAATTCCCATTTCACTTTAAAGATAATTGAAGGAACGTACTTGGTGGGGCACTGATCAGTAGTAGACCATGGCTGAGAAAAAAAAATGGTATAAAGAAAAAAAAAAAAAAAGAGAATGTCTGGCCAAGCAGATGGCAGTTGTCTTCATCTGCTTCATTCCATACCAGCACTGCCTATGGCTCCCTTTGGAAGGAGGATGATGGTGCAGGCCTTCACACTGGATAGCTTTTCAGCTTTGAATGCTTGAAATCGGAGTGCTCTATATTACAGAGATTGCCCATGCCCCTGTTTATTGGGTAACCTAGGAGGTTATGCCTCCTGCTTCAAGCAGATGGCAGTTGTCTTCATCTGCTTCATTCCATACCAGCACTGCCTATGGCTCCCTTTGGAAGGAGGATGATGGTGCAGGCCTTCACACTGGATAGCTTTTCAGCTTTGAATGCTTGAAATCGGAGTGCTCTATATTACAGAGATTGCCCATGCCCCTGTTTATTGGGTAACCTAGGAGGTTATGCCTCCTGCTTTGTATAATGAGTGGAAAGAACAATGAATTTCACAGTTGTCTTTTAAAAACATTAAGGTGGAGTACACAAGAAAGCAGTGCTAGAACTAGGCTATCTAATTAGACATGTAAAATTTTAAAGATGAAAGATGTGTCCTATTATTCAGCCATCCTGTGTAAAATTCAGTCTTAGTTATATAAACCCATATGCATGTCAACTCCAAAAACTTCCTTGAATTGCAATTCCTTAAATTACTGGTTCTTCTGCAGATGAGAAAGCAGGCAGCATCTGATTTACAAGCACTGAGAGCGGAACTGACACAGAAGAAGATTCATTCAGCTTTTATTCTACAGTCCAGAAAATCAGGAATGTGAGAGGATGACATGACTTCAACATCTGTAAAGTCCACAGAAGGTCTGTAACGTATACAGAAGCTTATCATTTCAGAGCATTTGTTTGTATGTTCTTGAAGTTATCTTGTAGAAATACATAAACTATATAAATGTGAAATTTGTATACTAGGCTACTGAGGTACTGCAGCTCCCTTTTTAAATCTCACTGCAAGATTAGTCAGCTACTTAAACATACACTTTAACCTAGTAATGTGTCTAAAGCAAAACCAGTTATTTTAAAAGTGGAAAATAGTGAATTGTGTAACATCACATTGGTATGCTAAGCAAATAAACCTATAATCTATAACCTCCTGTTCTTATTTTCAGGCATACACATTTCATTTCTGGAAAATGATTAAAATACACCTTCTGTAGAACTACAGCAACAGTAATCCTTTATGTAGCTATTTACTGAGGTATATTTTTGTCATTATAAGTATGCCTATCTATAATTACCAATGTATTATTACCTTATTATTATGAACAAAATCTCAGAGAATTTTACCTTATTTCACATTAAGCCATTTTTCTTCCCTCTTATGTTAGGAAAGCCATATGGACATTAACCTTCTTCTATAGTTAGTGGAAGATGAAAGCTTTGTCTTGGACAAGCGGTAATGATGATCCTTGTCCTACTTACAGTATTGCATACTGTGTTTTTCTTTTAAGCTGAAGCTCATGCATGTGCTTAACAACAATTCTCTGAAAGCGCAATCAGAAACCTCTTCTTGACAGGCATCTTCTCTAGCTCTCCTGTTTGCTTCTTTGCAGTACCAGATGTTATTATGTTAAGCTGAAAAATAACGTGCTGGGAATTGATGTCAGCTTAAAAGCTGACAAGGCTGTATTTACTACTGGAAGTGCAACACTTATGGGAAACCAGTAATACGAAAATTATGCAACTCTCAAAAGGAGTAACTTCGAAATGTCTTGAGTCAAACCACCCATTATCCAATTTATTTTCTTAAGATAGGATTTAAGAAAGATTTTGGTGCTAAAGTATTAAAGTAATTATTAAAACTACAATGACTCTTGCTCAATTCAGGATTGAATCCTACTTCCTCTATTTCAGAATCATGTCTTATTTAAGACACAATAGCAGGCAACTAGCTGTTGGAAAATCTGAACCTAAATTTAAAAAAAAAATAAAAAGTACCAACTCATGATTCTTGTTACAGGAAGGACAGTTTTATAATAAAGTTATCTGGCCTTCAGTTAGGATTTTGTAGTTCAGATCATCCACTCCAGAAGACCTGTCAATTTCACAAATATCTTACAGTATTTTAGCATATAAATAGTAATACAAATTCTAAAGTATCTATATGTCAAATAAAATATGTCTCCTAAAATAAAATAATAAAATAAAATATGTCTCCTAAAATCTAGTGACTAGAGTTCTAGTGAAGTCCTCTGTTTTTCCAAGGGATTTTTTTTTTTCAAGCGAGAGCAGTACGCTTCACCTTCTGCTTTCCATCACCTGTAGTATCACGCAGTTAGACACTCATATGAAGTCTTCTTGTCTTCTCTTCAGCAACCAGTATGGCAGTGGTGCTATTTTATGGTGTTTTCCCAGTAACTCTTTAGCGAGGGCAAAAACTAAAACAAAATCAACCCCCCACAACTAACGACATATATCTAACTAAATAAATTGTTTAATTAACGGAGTCAAACAGGGCACAGTTGTTGTGAAACAGTTCTGAGAAGCAGAAAAGCATTGTGGGCTGCAAGATGTGGAAAAAGTAAAGCATAAACAGACAACACTGTTTACCAACCTTAGTGAAGAGAGCATTTTATTTAACCAAAAAAATCCTGTAAACACCAATCATTCATGACTACAGATATTTTTAAAAGTTATACAATTTCTTTAGGCAAATTATTTTATGAAAAAATGAACTACAAAAAATATAACCTCATAATATCTCAGAGGCAACACCACATAAAAACTAACAATAGGCTACTGAATGAATCTTAAAGTGTGTGGAGAAATACATAGGCAGTTCATTAAATAAGCTTCTGAGTTCTAGTTTTGAGGAAGTAAATAAGTTTGAAATGGAAGAAAACATTATCCAAGTCCTCTCCATATTAATGTTCCCTCTTCAAGATAAGGTCCAATATTTTTGGCTTTTGAAACTCAGGAATTTATGTGATACATAAACATAGTGAAACTGGAGTTTATTGAATATTTCTTTCTAACAATAAGTCTGATAAAAATCTTAATGGAAATTACTTCATGTTACATAATTTCTTCAGTTTATAAAATATTTTCATCTCTAGAAGAGTAACCAAGTACAAGCACAAGCTTCACCAAGTTGCATATAAGCAGCAATCTGTCTCTCCAGTACTCTGTGTTTAATCCGATTCAAGAGTGACTTAGCTAAAATATAGGTTGGGGTGGGAAGTCAGAAAGCTGAGAGTGCACCATGCAATCCCAGAATGAGTACTGGCTGCACGAGGTAGTCTTAGCAGAGGACCATTATTAGATTGCTCCTATAAATCCGCTTGGTCTTACTTGTTCCCAAATACACACTGGGTTCAAGCTTTAACCAACTTACGGCAGTTGTGAAAAATGAAAAAGATAAGCAGTCTTCAAAAAAAAAACCACACTGGTAAAGCAACATTGGAACTACTTGAAGAATGAAAATATGGCTTTGCATACAAAATAATAACAAGATTAATTTGGCTAGTTCTCAAAGTTTTTGTAGTCATGGTATAGTTATATAAAGCAAAAAAATCTATGATAGTATAAGCCACAATAAAAAAATACCAATTTTCATCATTGTAAATCAAGGGTTCATAAAGTTCTTACGGTGTCAGGGCTTGCCACATTGCTTCAGTTTGTTGTTCCGCCAGAGCTTCCCTGGAATAGTCGAGACTATTTCCATTCCACATGCCAATGCCCCTTAAACCTCGATGCTTCACATATGCTGCTTTTAGAGAAATGCTGCGAGGGTCATCATACCATACTTGGTGGAAGTGACCAAGAGAATCCTAGAAAAACATTTAAACAGGAGCATCAGTATCTACCTATCTATATAAACATAAGATATTAAAGTTCATTGAGGTTTGATACATTTTCTGTTGAACACAGTGAAAAGTACAACTAAAAACTCAGCTATACAAGCTATGTAGATTTACATAATGATACTTTCCTGATTTACACATTATTTTTCACATAGGACAATTAAACTTTAAGTCAAATACTTGGCCATTTTTTTATTTGTAGAATATAAGTTATAAAACAGTGATACATTTCAACTGAAGTTAGATGAAAAGACTTAGCTAACTTTTATTTTAATATTTTTTTTAAATAAAGCTAAAATCTCTCATATGCTATCTAACCTTACAAGTGAATTTAGTTAGAGATTAAGTGCTTTTTTCTGCAAGAAACAGTTTTAGAGAAGGTTATAAAATTTTGTCAAAGTTATGTTGCTTTGACCTGGTCATTGCTTACACCTTTTAATCATCTACACCTGAAACTTAAATTTACGTCTAAAAAAACAAGACAAAATGTATACACTGTGTTGTTCATGTAAGCACAATCATGCCTGACTCTTTCACTATATTATGTAGAAATCAAATGCAGAAGAGAGCATGCATGCCAGCCATTGTGTAAGAAAAACTTAACAGCATCTCAGAATCTGTTTTAGTTTCAATCGGTCATCAACTCATGAAAGTAACTATAACAGGGAAGGATGGAGCTATAGGATTTCTTTGTGCCAAAATGTCCTTTTTGAAATGATACAATCTCTTGAGAAAACGGCAAAGTAACTGAGATCTTTGTTACTCCCGTAGTCTTCAGTCACTGCACTCCCCTTTTAGACTAGAAATCTCAAGATACGGAAATGCAGCCATCCTTTACTACACAAAAAAAAAAAAAAGCAGAAAACATATATGGAAGAATCTAACTCTGAAAACTTTATAATCAAAGAACTATGGTTCATGAACATTTACTCCACAACATGGTGTCTTATAAAAGACATTTACCTGGTATTCATAAAACGGAGACTTCTGTACCTCATCCCACAGCACCCCTGAAAAAGAACTGTTCACTTGCTTCATAATTGCTCCATAGGGAACCTGATGCCCTGCAGCATCACTGCAAGGAGCCCCACGGAAAGGTACTTTGGAAAGGGAACAAACATGATCCTGAAATAAAAGCAGAAGGCATGAGTTTCCTGTATATAGATATAGTGAACACAAAAATAGCAGAACAGCCAAGAACAAAGTCACAAAAGGCACTGGGGTCTCAAAATCCCAAATCCTCAAGTATCTGTGCCAGACATATTATTAGTAGACAGAAGTAAATTAAAACAGTTAAATTTTGTTTACTTTGTAGTAATACAGGATTGGGTAGACATCATTCAACTTACACAGTTGTCTTATCTTTTCCACTTTCAATTTACTCTTACATTTTTCATACGTATAATGTTGTTTGAGACTCCATGATTTATCCATAAACTGCTATACTTTAACAGTCATAGGTTTGCTGTGGTTTGTTGCACCTAGTCTTTAACCAGTGACCTTAGAGACTGACTGTCGAGAAGGCAGATACAAGTGTTGTAGTGCCTTTGGACATCATCTCTCCTCATACAGATAACATCTATAGCTCCTTAGTCAAACATGGTGCTTGGGTATCATGGGTTCAGGTTGCCTAGGGAGAGAGAAGGTGCCTTGTTTGGTAACACACTGCTCATCAGTTATCAGTCAAGCAAAAGCCTCTGTCTTGACTCCCAGCTTTACGCTCTTATCCATCCGACCACAGATCCAAAAACAGGATCACCAAAATCTGTCTCTTTCCAAGGAAAAAAATAACAGTATGATTGCAAATGAATAATTTCCACCTTACCTGAGATAGGTTTTGGCAGACATAGTCATAACCATACCAGGGGACGCCCATCACAAGCTTCTTAGGATCAATGCCCATAGTAATGTACTCTTCATATCCTCGTTTTGAAGAAAATAAAAATTAAGATGCATGATTGCATTTTCCCATGCTTGTTATTCTTTGAACTAATCTAGAGCCAGAGCCAATAAAGGACTTGCATGATTCCCAGACGTAGGCTAAGTCACAAGTTCTTCTTTACCTCCCACCTGCATATTCCTACACTTGCTCTATTCAGATCCTAGTTAACTGTTCGAGTTGCTCACACTTAAAACCAGCTGCCCATAGCAGCAGTTCACAAGAATGAGACACAAATGTTTTCAGGTTCTTTGCAAGCTCAGGCAGACACCATTGCTGTGGCTGCTGTTTGTCATTCTACAAGTGTGCTTCACAAACATGAGGGCTAGACAATTACAACACACAACTGCTAAAGGTCTATCCAAAGTGTCATAAGGACAACACATATTTGAGCACACTTAAAAGCCTCAATACAACCAAAAAACTTGTCTAAGAAAAGGCAATCTTTCCTGTTTCTTCATGTGAACAAATGGAAGTGTTCCAACTCCTGGGAAGGCATTTTGTTCTCACCAACTAAAGTCTGCAGGTAAGGAGCATTGGCTTTTGCAATACAGTCTGTCCAGATCTGGCTCTGTTCGTCATATGACATCACAAATAAGAAGTCACAGGCGTCTGCAATCCCAGTGTAGTTGTAGCACCTTTTATCTATGCATGCTGGAGACCAAGCCACATCAAATGTTACCTGAAGGAAAAACACACAAGTCAGTATCGTGTATGGCACTTAGGCGCTCTGGTTTTCTCTTTAAAAAAAGCTGTAACTTCTAAAGACAGTATTTCCCAAATGTTGTACAGTGTTTTAACACACAGTGATACTAATGAACTACAGGAGAAGCTGCTCAGCTAATAAAACGAACATTAGATAATAAACAGTGAATGTCCCTATTAGTGAATTCAAAACAGCAAATACAACATGAAAACCATCTCATCAAAAATAAGAAGCATGATGCAAATCCTTAAAATTTTAGTGATGGGTTTACTAAAACATTTTCACGCTTTTGCACCAGCAGGCTGTATTTGCTACTTTGGAAGATGAATGAAGCCATACTACTAACTGCCAGCTCACACACGGCTATACATTGTATCTGCAAATCTCAGCGAAACTCTTCTTCCATGTAAATTCACACAGGTCAAAAAGGGAGATTCCTACGATAGCTTACCATTGCTAACACTCATAATTAACCATTCATGAGGATATCATGCTTTACATCTGCATTTTTTTTCATATTCATATGCTAAACAGCATTCTCAAAACTCCTTGCACTTCATAAAGTTAAACTTAATGTTTGTATAAAGAAAATTATTATTACCTGTGATCCTGGAATTTCTCTGTGAAAAGCATCTGTAGTTTCTTTAACAAGCTCTGTTAATGCATAATACTCAGGAGAGGTTTCATTAACTTCTTGCTCTATATCTATGTTAATTCCATCCATATACTGTTTCTTTGCAAGGTCCACCTGTTGAGATATCCATGTCGCTCTTTTAGCAGGATCAACAATTTCCTTAAGCGGTACATCACCTAGACAAGAGGCCTTCAAGAGTTAACACGTATTTGCACCACAGTAACAGTAAAGAGGAAACGTTTGTCTTTACTAAACCAACAAACATAACCACGAAATAAAAAATCCCCACACCCATACTGGTAAAACACAAAGGAGTTAACTTTTTCCCCCCAGCGTAATTTTGAGAACTCACCTCCAAAGAGATTACTAAGGTTCTTTACAACAATGGTGTTTAAGTTCCTTTTGGATATTTTCTGTAATTTTAATCTCCTTACTTCTGCTTAATATTCTTTCAGCCACTGTAAACTTCCACTCTTGAAATCAAGGTACTTTCAGTTATTTCCACAGAGCCAGAAGGACTGTGTCTTACTGCTCCAACAGACATACTTTCATGTTCAACCTTTGTTGCTTTCCACATTGTGGCTTTGGATTACATTTTTGCCTCAACAGAGCCAAAACTGGTTTACAGAATGTAAACCGTAATGGACTTTGTCTTTCTAATCAGCATTTGTACCTGCACAGAGTTCCCAAGCATTCATGTTTTAAAACTCAACCGCTTCCTAATACAGAAGGATTGATTTATGTGAAAAATACTAAAAATTACTTAAAATCCCTTCCCCTACCCTGTCTTTTGGGTACTCCACATAACATCCGGAACACAGACCCAAATAAATACCTTCTACAGGTTTTTCCTTTCCTCCCTTCCTCCCAGTTCCTCTATAGCTGTGATGTTCCCTGTTAGAGAACTTTTATTTAGATGTCACTGGGATGGTTTTGTTATTACTGTGGCAGAAGCCACTGCTGGTTTTCTCTTAATACCCTGCATACCAGCATGTGCGAAACGTCAAGGTATTATAGCCCTATGTACATATGTTCTTATCCATGGATCACACGAAAATTCACAGTTTCGTAATGTAACCAACCTTTCAGTACTATCCTGGAGCCTTTAGAGTGAGCATAGCACATGAGCTCAGGATCGTACTTTCCGAAAGCTGCCACAGTTGTAATTTTTGACCAGTCGTAGGATTTCCAGGTTTCCTTTCCCACATCGAACACAAAGACCTGGAAAAGGGGTAAAAAGCACCCTCATTAGCGCCAAGCCCTTCTCAGCAGCACCGTTATTTTCCACATGCCTCTTACAAAGGCACCGGGCTCGTGTCTCGCGAAAGCAGCTCCGCCCGCTCGCACCAGCAGCTTCCCGGGGCGCGGGCGGTGCCGCGGCCGCCGGGCCGGGAAGGGTCGAGTTTGCAGCAGCTGCGCGCAACGCTTCACCCAGCAGCGGGCACGGCAGCCGGCAACACCCAACTCATCGCAGTCCGACGCTTCCCTGTAAATCACATGCACCTATTTTTTACAAGTCTGTCCGACGCTAACGCAGGCACTTCAAATGCGGCAGCGGCCCGCGGTGCGTTTAGCATGCCGCTAACCGCGCAGGCCGCCCCGGCACCGGCCTTCCCCG